TGATCTGTTGCGCTGCCTCTTTCTACTCCCTCCTTCCTTCACTAACCAGACTTGTGCTTTTCTTTTTTTTTTGTGCTCATCTTGGGGTTTCTCTCTCTTCCTCTTTGGCACTGTTTTAACATATCAGATATTTTAAATACATGATTTTTCTGCACAGCACAAGTGTAGAATACATAATGGATTAGAAGTGGATTAAAGGAAGACACTAAAATTCTTATAGGGATGTATAATAGATGCTTGGCTTATCATTACTTAATAATATCAGTGTGATGAGCTGCAGTCAAGATTTGTTAAAATATACATAACATTTTAGAATGGCTAATCTGTGTTAACACATGAAGACGTGAAATAATTTTTTTTAACATCAAATATTTAATGTATAAATGTAATTTAAAATCTAAGAACTGACATTAAAGGTCCCATACTGTATAAAGTGAGTTTTCCATGTCTTTTGATTATAAAGCAGGTCTAGGTTCTATATTAATACTGCCAAGGTATCAAAGCGCTCAATCCACAGAGAAATGCACACAGCCTGTATTCAGAAACTAAGCCTTAAAACGAGCAGTCAGGACTTCTGTAACTTTGTGATGTCACAACAAAGCAGTCAAAACTCTTAGCCATGCCCTTATGCCTCGCCCACCTGGACCCACCGTCCAAGCTTGCAGGATTTTGTTTCTCCGAGTGTTTACCTGAAATCTGCTATATTTTTATTCAATCACTCAGAAAACAGTCAGGCGATCAGGAAAGAGACGCAGAGACTCTCTTCTGAGTGGCTCACTGACCTGTTGTTACTAGAGCTCCAGAGAGAAGCCTGAGAGAGGAGATGTAAAACTGCACTGAGATGGTTTTTGGTTCTTAAAACCCAACCACACCTTTACAACCCCTATAAAAATAGTAACTGTTTTCCAAGTGATACATTTCTCTAATTCTGTGTTGTTATTTTTTTTTTTACACAAACAGAGATTTATAGAGGCACTGTGGGTAGCAACACACAACATGACACACTATGACTTTGTAGGTAAAAACAAAGAACTGACAACAGAAGATTGAAAAGAAATTATTGCCGTACCATATCCCCGTAACACTCTCACAATACAGTATATATCCATCTCAAGTTGCTTTATGTGTTTTATTTTTAATTGTTGACACAATTTTAAAGAAAGTGTCATATATCACTCTCAATTAATTCAATGTGCAACTAATATTAAATTTCAGGCACTATTAAAAATAAAAATGAATAAAGAAATCTGGTGGGGAATGTTAAAGGCAGGAGAATCAATTGCTACATGTGTGCAAAATCAAAGGGTGTCATGAAAAGATCTTAAATTGAATGAGCAGAAAGGAAGCTATGCCCCAAACATGTCTTTTTGCAAAGGGAAGGAGGAATAAAGGATGGACTTACCTTGACCGAGTCTCTGTCTGAGGGGGTGATGAGCAAGAGACAGAGCAGAGAAAAAAGTACTGATTAAAGCATTTAATGAAGAACAAGCACAAGAATACATGTTCAAAAAAATAGGCACTATGTAATTAACAGACAGATTATGAAGCAAATGGCATACACAGACCAACACAGCTGAAGGTGGATTGTTATTACCATTGATTCTTCTGCTTTAATGGGAACACTCTACATCAAAGTTTTTACAGGTGTTAGTGCCAGCCCAAGGCTACATTAGCAGCTAATAGCACAACACCCGAATCTCCAAGTGAACTGCTGGTGGTCGTTTTGCATTGCGGGTAATCTAGGCACCAGCTTTAGGCAAGGAAGAAGAATATATGGAATAAAAAAAACCCAATATTGTTGGTTCTGCTGCGTCAATTTTAATTCTTTTTCCTCTTTAAACTGCTCAATGTAAATCCAATAATGTTATAGAAGCACAATGCTAAAGGCAGGTAAGACTAATAGTAAATATTGTGTTTTTTTCTAATTTTCATTTGGAAGCTAGCCTACAGCATGTAAACAAGGTAAAATGTAGGGCAACAAAACAGAAATACAGAACTATGTTGGCCACCACATGATACATAGGTTAAGGACTCGTCACAGCTTCTATTGTAGCAAAAGTCAAAAGGTTTTTAAGCATTAAGTTTAGTCAATTCTGCTGTGAGGATGTTAGCTAGCGGCGGCTGAAAACGTGCCACAGGTTACAAAATTATGTCCCATTTCTACTGAAGACAATTTTTAACCAGTCATACCAACTGAAGTAAGTAATAAATCAAGAACTAAAGGTATGTTTAATGCATTATGTCATATTTGTTACAACACTCAGCTCTCCGCAGATAGAGGATTTTTTCCAATGTGAGTGCTCTGATTATCAGATGAGTGACAAATTAAAGGCAAAACCTGAATAAATGAGTGGAGAAACATAATGAATACAGATGCCTCCACACTGCATGGCACAGATAAGCAATTACCATCCCATCATGCTCTGTGGCAGGTATGAAAATGAAAATCAGTTGATTCAGATTTTGTATTAAGATGGAAGGAGGAAAAGATCTAAGTGACTTTGAAAGAGCGTTGGCAAGAGCTTCAGTCACATAGACCGCTCAGCTGGCTCGTGTAGGAACAGTGACTAAAGTGACATCTGCATTCCTACCTATGGGAAAGACATCAGTACACCGGGTCAAAAATTGTGTTCGACGGCGCACATTTGATGACCGTGAACGGCAACTCTTCCTCAGGCGACTGAGAATGTCAATGCAGGGCGTGATCAGATTGTGTCCATCCATAATTACACAGAGAGGGATATTATAGCGGGGACGCAGTGCATAAACCTCTCATTACAAAGAAGAACGCACATTTGAGAGTTCAGTGGTGCAGTCCACTTGTCCCCTTAGACAGAGGAATGACTGCAAATTGTTGTGAGTGATCTCCTTTATCCTACGATGGAACATTTCTATCCTGATGGGAGTGGACTCTTCCAGGTCCACAGGGCACCACGGGTCACTGAATGGTTTGATGAGTATGAAAATGATGTGAATCATATACTATGGCCTTCACAGTCACCAGAACTCAACCCAAATGAACACCTATGGGAGATTTTGGACTGACATGTTAGACAGCGCTCTCCACCACCATCTTCAAAACACCAAATGAGGGAATATCTTTTGGAAGAATGGTGTTCATCCCTCCAGTCGAGTCCAGAGACTTGTAGAATCAATGCCAAGGCGCACTGAGGCTGTTCTGGCACAAGACCTTTCTTAGACACTTTAATTTGTCACCCTTCTGTACAAGCTATGTACACATGATCAGCTGTTTGACTGGCTGTCAGCTCATCAATACTGATTATGGGGATACTGTCCAAAAAAGTTGCTGGATTTGTAAATTAAGGAACCTAGACAGTCAAAATGACATTAAATTTGGCACCACTGTTACCAAATTTAGCAAAAATATGAATTATATAACTTCTAAGTAACTACATAACTTCTACTTCCCTTCATGTACACTCATTCTCAGGAGATCAGCTAGAGATGGAATTGCATTATCATTGATAGTGCTCCTAATTAGGGTAAATATTACCTGACTTAGCAGCTGTTAGCTTTACTGCAGCTACAGAGAAAGGTGAGCTATTCTGCTGCACTGTAAAAACCCTCACAGCCATGCTGCAACAGAGTAATCAAGAGCTGGCACAAACCGCTTTTGTCACACACACACACACACACACACACACACACACACACACACACACACACACACACACACACACACACACACACACACACACACACACACACACACACTCTCTCTCTCCATGTTCGGTAATTAAATGCTTGAGCTCAAAGTCAGCACAGAGAAGAATTAAAGGCGTTCTGTGTGTACAGGAGAAAAGAGGCATCATGGTGGTTGGGTATCGCTCGCTATTAGGCCAATTAAAATGGCATAATGACAAATTAGTTTTTAATAGCTTTAACTGCTGTTCATTCAGAGTACTAACAACTAAGCATCAGAAAGTACAAGTGGTGATATAATTCAACTGTGACCGAATATTCTAGACGTGTAAAATTGGTTTGGGATCGTTAAGTAAACAAACAAAAAAAGCTTCAGTATTCATTTCTATTAAACATATTTAGCATCTGCTTATGGGTGAATCAAACAGCAGCAATTTGTATTAAATATTAACAAAAGGAGTTGTTATTGTGTCTTAAAAAAAACTCAGATAAACCAAATTTTCATGTTATTGTTTTAACCTTTCCCTAGATAAATAATCTGTCAGAAGATGTGTGATAAAAAGAAAAAAATAAAGCAATTTAATGAAGCTGTAATTTAATATGATTCCAGAATATGACATAAATTTCAAAAATGAAAAACATAAGATAAAATGAAGCATGATGTAAAAATTTAGTTCAAATTGACATATGATCCTCTTATGTGTTTGCATCGTTCCTAGATGTGACTGTAAATCACAGTTTAAATTAATATTTTCATAAAATAAAATCAGTGGAGGAATTAACAGAAAACTTCCCATTGTGACTGTTAAACACATAAACAAGCAGTGATGAACGCTATGACTTAGTTTAGACATGAAGCCAACGCACAGAAACAGGCCTACACAAACATACTGTACAATACAGGTACATGCAGAGCAGGCCTTACCTCTCGGGTGTTCGCTGTTGTTATCGTGGTGTTTCCTCTCGTCTTTGAGCGGCAGCTGGTGACTGAGGGCGGAGGAGAGCGTCAGCAGGCTAGCAGTTCCGGCCCCCGGTGGCAAGGGGGGCTGGAGGCCAGCTGGGTGGGGCGTGAGCGGGACGGGGATGGCGTGACCGTGGGAGAGGTGCTGAGCCTGAAGCTGCTGCTGCTGAAGCAGACACAGAAACACTGATTAATGCTGCACAGTGACCTGAAGCCCTCTGCATGACAGACCAGAAAAACAAGTAGCCAGGATGAAGAGGCAGACGCACGGAAAAACTGAGGAGGGAAAGAGACAGAATAAAAGAGAGGAAAGGGTGAAGTAACAGTAAAAAAGTAAAACAGGGTTCCAGATGTTTTGCTCTCTGTTTTCTGCAAATGTGTTGCATATCAGAGGCTGACACCGATATCTTCAAGTCTCCTCAAAAAATTTCAAATGGCTCTGTAAAGCTGAGTTCTGGACTTTTGAATATGTGAGAGGTGTGATGGAGGAAAGAACAAGTTGAGTAAAAATTAAAAAGTGTCAAACACGTTGTCTCGCTTACTGCTGCTTTAACATGTCAGTAAAGGTGTGAGCAGACCAAAACATTACAAATACATAAATATACCAGCAGTCTGAAAGACAATGTGTGGGAATATTTCATGATTTTGTAATTTTGATTAAAGTTTTAAAAAATCTATGAACAATATCATCAGCCAGTAGTTGTTTTTTTTTTTTTTAAATAAACATAAATAACTATTTCTGATAAAGTTCCTCCTAATTTGGTCATTAAAGAACTGTGATCAGATATGGAGTCAGCAGGACATTTTGCAGTTGAAATATAAACTAGTCAGTGCTCTGTGGTCGACAAACACTCTTTCTAAATGACCTCAAGCTGACAGTGTCTTTTTCCGTACTGCAGTTTCTTGTTACTTACTGGCTGACACACACAGTGATAATCGATATTATCTCTGATAAGATAAAACTGGCCGATAATATCTGCCATGCTAGTGCAAATGAAAAGATTTAAATGCCCTGCAGAAAGCTATGAACAGGTATTTCTTTGAAATGGAACTACAACCGTTCATTAAAAACATATTCTAATGACATTCTGCCATGATGAAAAAGTTTTTCAAAACCTGTTTTTCACATTGTAAACCCTTATAGATATAAGCCGACCTTGTATCCTGACAATGGCTCATTGAAGAAGTTGAAAAATGTTGAATAATTTGTTCATCTTTGATGAATATTAAGGTAGAAATACCTCATTCATCTTTGTTCTTGTAGATGCATTTGATCCATTCCTTTCTCTCTCTTTAAGAGCATGCAATAAACTGTATGTCCTTGAGTATTAGCAGTACACTTTTTTCTTCACATTACTCTCCCTGCACCATTTATCTCTGCTAGGTCTGTCTTACAGCATCTTCAATATCATTGTGTATGTGTGTGTGTGTGTGTGTGTGTGTGTGTGTGTGTGTGTGCAATACACCCACTCCTATGATGGCGTTGAGTTCAGCCATGGTGACCTGCTTGGCCCTCTCCACCGCCTGCACCACCTGCTGCTGGTGCTGAGAGAGAAACACACAGACAGAAACAATCAGAGGGAGCGGGAAACTGAGACAGCAAGTGAGACGGAGAAGAGAAAGAGTTGCTGAATTCAGACATGTGGGTTTTGAAAGAGGGGTTATGAAGATCTAGGGACAAACAGAAGGAACTGCAACAACATTATTACAAATGTATTCCTCCTATACAATTAGATAAAGATGGTAATGCAGTATATTAAAAAAAAAAAAAGAAAAAAAAGAAAAAATAAAAGCCTTCGCACACCTGTGAATCACATACCACCTCGCATCTGTTTGTGCCATCAGCCTGCCTCTATTCCATCACACACGAGTTACCTGGCAGTTCTCTCCAAACTTTACACAGCCTCACATGCACTTTATCAGTCAGCAGAGCATCGTGTAGCCCGACGCACTGTGGTTCTTCTCATCAAACCAGCCGTAAATGTGCAGGAGCAGAGGGAGCTACACAATCTTACTGTACTTTGGCCCAGATTTTTTCTTTACCCGCCAGTTTCCGGACAAAATGGTAAACAGGCTGCACTTATATACTTTTCTAGTCTTACCACGCAAAGCGATTTACACTACAAGCCACATTGATCCCATTAACTCACACATTCAAACAGCACTTTTTCTCACACACGGATGATACATCAGGGGCAGTTCGGTATCTTCAGTTCAGTGTCTTGCTCAAGGACGCCTCGACATGCAGACTGGAGGAGCCGGGGATCAAACCACCGACCTTCCGGTTAAGTGGACGACCCGCTCTACCTTCCTGAGCCAAAGCTACACCCCTAAGCATCCACCATGTTATTATTAAAAATCTAAGGCTCTGACCGGATCCAGTTTAAATGCCATCAGACAAGAACCCGAGACACCTCTGAGTCATCTCTGCAGTTTGCTCTTTCTTTGGTAAAAGTAGTGCTCCTCCTCCTCCTCCTCCTCCTCCTCCTCCTCCTCACAATTTGATACTCACCAGTGCGATCAGTGAAACTCAGCGGATAGAGGAAAATGGCCAGCTAATTAGGGTGTACTAGTTGGTCAAGTGTAACTTGTACAGGCCAGTTAATTCCTTCTTTGGAGAGCAGAAAACTAAACTGGTGGAGGTCCAAGGGAACAGCTCATGTTTACTAATGGCTCAGAGATCTACTGTAGTACAAGTTACCAAACATCCTGATCTTATGGAGCTTATAGAGGAAATCACTGTATACATGTGCCGGAGGTGATGTTTTACTTTTAAGAGGGTGAAACATTTCCCAACCACGATTTTTCTCAGTTAACATGTTTATGGCACAACAGCTATGACCATAAATTCTGTGCAATCCTGTCGTCCGTTCAGT